ACTGCTATTCCAAACCCTGTACTTCCAGTATCTGGACTTTTAGCACCATCCGTGAACACATGAATACACTCAGGGTATTCATTCAAGCTGTGAAAATGAAATGCTGAAACAAGATCGACTTTGCCTTTTCAATTTTCTCTTCAGATCCAGCAAGAACCAGTCCACAGGAGGGGTTTCCAATAACCATGGAGGAACCACAGAGAACACTACTGCAGGACATATTTTAAGTTCATACACATGACACTCCTTAACCCACTGATTCCCCACCTTTCCAAAATGATCCTTCTGACTTCTTCCATACTCCCAGCATTCCAAAAGCACCTCCTTTGTGGGATGTGCGTCACCATGACCACCAAGATGAACCCAGTAATTCACAGATACTTGCTTCCTCCTAAGATCTAGGGGCATTTCTCCCATCTCCACCTGTAGGGTATTGACTGGAGACATTTTAAAAGCTCCACAGCACACTCTAAGGGCTTCCGATTGCAGAACATCCAAACGTCTCAACACAGGAGCTGCTGAACCATATGCACGCACCCATAATCAAAGGCCGATCTAATTAATGCCTGGTAAAGTCTTTTCAAAGCAGAAGAGCTCGCTCCCCAACCCCTCCCAGCTACACACCTCATAACATTAATAACTTTTTTGCATTTGGTTTCAATCCGGTCAATATGCTCCCGCCATGTCAGTCCCGAATCAAACACAACACCTAAGTACTTAAAAGAGCTCACTTTCCCAATTACCTTGTCATACAGTTTCAATGTCAATGCCTCACTCACTTTTCTTTTGGTAAAGAACATCATTTTTGTTTTTTCCACCGAAAACCTGAATCCCCAGTCAAATCCCCACTCAACCACCATATTCACAGCCTCCTGAACCTTGCCCACTAGGTGCTCAATATTTCTTCCTTTTTTCCATAACACACCATCATCAGCGAACAAAGACCTCCCAATTCCCTCAGGAACATCAGAAAAAACATCATTGATCATTACAACAAAAAGCAGGGGACTAATCGCACTGCCCTGTGGCGTTCCATTCTCAACCATGCACTGACTAGAAATTGTAGACCCAGTTCGCACTTGGATCTTCCTACCAGATAAAAAGTCTTGGATCCAATTGAATGTCCTGCCACCAATACCCAACTTATGCAAGTTGATTAAAAGCCCATCCCTCCACAACATATCATATGCCTTTTCTATGTCAAAAAACACTGCCAAAACAGACTCTTTATTGGCCTGCGCTTTCCTAACGACAGTCTCAAGTCTATTAGCATCAGTTGTGTTCCGAGCTGTCCTGAAACCACTTTGGTAATTGGCTAAAGCCCCTTTTCTTTCCAGCTCAAAGGACAGTCTTGCCATTATCATACGTTCCATTAACTTGCTCACATTTGATGTAAGAGCGATTGGTCTGTAGCTATCTGGTTTAGATGGATCCTTCCCGGGTTTTCTTATTGGCACAATAACAGCCTCCTTCCAAGTACTTGGGAGCTCACCCTTAATCCAAACTGTGTTAACCAAACACAGCAGTTTATTAAACGCTTTCGTACCAAGGTTCTTCAACATTAAATAACAAATTTGATCCTTTCCCGGGGCTGTGGGCTTTGTTTTTTGAAGTGCTCTCACCATTTCCTCCCGAGAAAACACCACATCCAAACTACTGCCTATGTGCACCTTTCTTACTAGAGCCTCCGAATACCGTGTTTTAGTTTGGCACATTCTGTCTTTTCCCAACACTGGTATGTTATCAGAGCTATGAACCTTAGCAAAAGTTTTCACCATAACCTCCACTTTTTCCTGAGCTGTTACAAAGTTCTGTTGGCCTGAAGATAGAACTGGGTAATCCCATTCCCGCCAGTCACCTCCCATTCTTCTGGCCATGCCCCAGACCTTCCCCACTGGAGTGGTTCTTCCTATTTTAGAACAACAACCTCAACTGCTCCGCTTTGCTTGTCTAACTGTTCTCCTGACCACTGCCACTGCTTTTCTGTATGCAATCAGAGCTTGTATATTAAGGGTTCTTTGGAGAAATTTAAACACCTTGTTTCTTTCCTTTACAGCAATTCGACATTCCTCTGTCCACCATGGCACCAAAGTCCTTCCTACTTTCCTTGCCTTTACTGGTCGGGATTGAGGCCTTGGCGGCTACCATAAGTACTTCAATAAACTGATTATTCATTTGATCAACACTACCAGACTCATCAACCTTGTCAATCGTTTCCTCACATAATTTTTGGAATTTTGTCCAGTCAGCCCTATGAAAACTCCACTTCTTATGCACCTCTCTTAGAGATACCTGTATCTTCCCTCCAACATCACAGAAAACAGGATAATGGTCACTGCCTATGGTAGTGTCTGTTC